CGACCACCCAATTTCAGCCTTGGTGATGAATCCTCTTGCTGTTTTGATCCAAAATGTTGTTTGCTGTGGTCTGTGTCTGATGCACTGCAGCTGTGGTGCACCTGTTGATACTCACAACCGCTCTCACGGGTCGCTCAGCAGTCCTCGGGGGACACCGTAACAGAGGATGGGTGACTTGTCCGAAGCCACATAGGAGATCAATGGAAGAGTTCAGGCTAGACTCCAAGTCTCTTAATTCTCAGCTCCTTGGCTCCAACTCCTTGGCCCCTTCACGCCTGCTCCGGGACAACCAAAGTGCGGATTGCAAGCGGCCGGTGGGGAAATAGCGAAAAGTAAACGAAATTACATTTCATTCAGATCATTTAAAAAATTTTAAGCCTGACGACGATGTTATTGGTGACACTAGGAGCACTACACCTACTGTCTTGCACAGGAACTCGGTATCATCACAGTGTCCCTCTATTCAAGTGTATTCTAGCAACTGTGCTGTCTCATGTTCATGGAGACTGAAAATAGCCGGGTTCCCTCTTTGGCTGCTGTCATCCTCATGCCCTGAAAAGTAACTTAGGAGGATCTTTTCAGCTATCTCTGGCACTACGAACAATCCTGCTGGATCATTTTTATTCATTCTTCTCCCGCTGATCTTAGTTTTAAGACCGTCCCTTTTTTTGGCTTTCTTTTTGTGTGTCAGAGCGCCGCAGCGACTGCATCTCGGGCTGTTTAAAGTAATGAGAGTGTGCTATTGCTAGGCAACCTTCGGAGAGTGTTCCTGACTAGAACTCTGAATGCAACTGGGAGACGTCGGGAAGCTAATATTGCTACACCTCACCAGTGAAAATTGACTAGAAACTGCATTGGGGGGCGGGGGGGAGGAAGGGGAGAGAGATTTTTTTTTAAATGCATCAGACTATGCCATGGTGCATTTTAAGGGGTAGCTTTCTAATGGCTCTTTTTTAAGAAGCAGGTTTGGGTGGGCTCTCACTTGTTGAAACGTTCAGGGGGATGAATGTGTTACAGAGTCTAATGAATAGCCAATGGTTCTGTCTGCAGCCTGGCCAAGACCCCTGTGGGTTGAACCATCAACAGCTGTCTTTGATTTTGCACTTCAAATCAATTAACACAGAGCTGGATCGCAGCCCTAGTCTACACAAGAGAGTTATTTCAAAATAAACCCCCCTTATTTCAAAATAATAAGCGGAGAGTCCATGCTACCAAGCCCGTTATTTCGAAATAATGGGCTGGTTATTTTGAAATCTGTACTCCTGCTTTCCTCATGGAATAACGCGATCTCGATTTTGTTATTTCGGGAGTTATTTCAAATTTAGTTATTTGAAAATAATTTCCTAATGTAGACATGCCCTCAGTGACTCAGCCATAGGGTGCTATGAATTCTTACCCTGGCTGTAAACACTGGCTCCCCTCTGTAACCAGTTCACTTAACTACTCTGTGCCTCAGTTTCTCCTTCTGTCAAAGGGAGATGAACCTCCTCCCTTCCCTACCTCCCTTCCATGGGCTCAGGTGAGCGTGTTCATTAGGGAATGCTTGTAAAGAATGTGGAATTTGGAGAGGGCTCACATTATTTATGAATTGTGGATAAAATGGTGTCCTTGGCCTCTGTTTGTCAGAGGTTGGAGAGGGATGGCAGGAGACAAATCGCTTGATCATTGTCTTCGGTCCACCCTCTCTGGGGTACCTGGTGCTGGCCACTGTCGGCAGACAGGACACTGGGCTAGATGGACCTTTGGTCTAACCCAGTACAGCCGCTCTTATGTTCTTATGTTATGTTCAAACAACATAATGTAGAGACATAGCACTGAGTAGGGTTTGCAAAACAAGGGTTTGCATGTCAGCATTATATAATTGGGTAATTCGGGAGAGGGTGGAAGCCCCCGTTAAAAATGTGGGCCTCTGTGTGAAAAGGAAGGTGGTTAAAATTGCACGCGCGCGCGCGCGCGTGTGTGTGTGTGTGTGTGTGTGTGTGAAAACAAGACATTGTAATTCCCACTCCACCGCATCAATTCATTTCAGTCCATGAAGCATTATCATGTTTCATACAGTGTGTTTACTACAGGGAGCCACATGGTTTTCAGATGAGAAATAATGCCGTTCTTCCTCCTAGGACTCCTGATATTGGAGCAGCCAGCGCTTGGAACACATCCCAACCCTCCCCCCCCCACACACATACTGTTCAGATTGCTGGGCTTAACAGCTGTGCTGTTAGCCGCTCTGCACCCCTCATCATTTTGAACCCCCTCTGTGTGTACGTGCACATGTGTGTGC